ATGGCCCAAATCCAAAACATTGATAACACCAAATGTTGGTGAAGATGTGGAGCAACAGGGATTCTCATTCATTGTTGGTAAGAACGCAAAATTGTACAGCCACTTTTGGAAGGCAGTTTGGAAGTTTCTTAGAAAGCTAAACACACTCTTGCCATATGATCCAATAATTGCGTTCCTTGGTATTTACCCAAATGAATTGAAAACTTATATCCACCCCAAAACTTGCACATGGATGTTTATAGCAGCTTTATTCATAATTGCCAAAATTTGGAAACAACCAAAATGTCCTTCAGTGGGTGAATGGATAAATAAACTGTTGTACATCCAAATAATGGAATATTGTTCAGTACTAAAAAGGAATGAGCTATCAAGCCATGAAAAACATGGAGGAAACTTAAATGCATATCATGAAGTGAAAGAAGCCAATGTGAAAAGGCTACCTATTGTATGATTCAAACTATGACATTTTGTAAAAGGCAAAACTGTGGAAATGGTAAAAAGATCAGTGGTTGCCAGGAGTTCAGAGTTGGGGAGGGATAAATAGGTGAAGCACAAAAGACTTTTAGGTAAGTGAAACTATTCTGTATAATAATACTACAATGGTGGATATAGGTCATTATACATTTGTCCAAACCCATAGAATGTACAACACAAGGAGTGAACCCTAATGTAAACTATGGACTTTGGTCCATAGTTTAAGAGTAACTATTATAACTACAGTAATCAGGAGACTGTGGTATTGATAAAGGATAGATGCATAGATCAATGAAAGAGACTACAGAACTGAGAAATAGATCCACACAAATATTCCCAACTGATTTTAGGCAACGATGCAAAAGCAGTTCAATAGGAGAGATACCCTTTTCAATAAATGGTGTTAGTTAGAGCAACTGGACATCCCTAGATCCTCCACCCACCCCCAATAAATGAACCTTGATCTAAGAGTCACTCATTAAAAAGAATTAACTCGAAATGGATCACAGACTAAAATGTAAAACATATAACTGTAAAACTTTTAGAATAGAACATAGGATTATATCCTTAGGATCTAAAGCCAAGGAATTCTTAAACTTGACACCAAAAGCATGATCCATAAGGGAAAAATTGGTAAACTGGACATCATCAAAATTAAATGCTTTTGCTCAGTGAAAAACCTTATTAAGAGGATGAAGACTCATGCTACAGAGGGGGAGAAAATATTTACAAACCACATATATGACAAAGGACTAGTATGTAGAATGTATAAAGAACTTTCAAACCTGAACAATACAAAAAGCAAATAATTCAATTAAAACTTGGGCAAAGGACACAAAGAGACATTTTGCTGAAAATATATTGATGGCAAGTGAACATACAAAAAAGATGTTTTTTCTGTGAAGCATGTTTCAGGAAAAAAAAGGTGTTTAACATCATTTGCTGTTAGGAAAATGCAAATTAAAACCATGATAAAATACCACTACACACCTATCAAAAAGTTAAAAAAAATTGTGACAACATTAAATGGTGGTGAAGATACAGAGAAATTGGATCATTTGTGCATTGCTGGTGGGAATGTAAAATGGTACAGCCATTATGGAAAATAGTTTGGTAGTTTATTAGAAAAAATAAGCATGCAACTATCATATAACTCAACAATTGCACTCCAAGGCATTTATCCCAGAGAAATGAAGAGTTGTGTTCACACAAAAACCTGAACACTAATGTTTATAGCAGCTTCATTTGTATTAGTCCCAAACTGAAAACAACTCAGACATCCTTCAATGGGTGAGTGGTTAAATAAACAATACAGTGGAACACAATGCACAATAAAAAGTAATGAACCACTGATACACAGAACAATATGAATGATTCTCCAGAAAATTATGCTGAGTGGAAAAAGCCAATCCAAAAAAGTTACATACTGTATGATTCCATTTATATAACATTCTTGAAATGACAAAATTATAGAAGTAGAGAACAGGAATAGTAGTTGCCAGGGGTTAATGAGAAGATGAGAGTAAGAGAGAAGTGGATATGTTTATAAAAGGGATTCTTGTAGTGATGGAAATGTTCTGTATCTTGACTGTATCAATGTAAATATTCTGGTTGTGATACTGTATTATAATTCTGCAAGATGTTACTAATTGTGGTAACTTGGTAAAGAGTAAATGGGATCTTTCTGCATTATTTCTTACAACCTCCTGTGAATCTATAATTATCTCAAATTAAATTTAATTAAAAATCAAAAGAAGCATAATATTTTGTGACATGAGAAATTATATTGAATTCAAATTTTAGTGTTCAAAAATCAAGTTTTTTGTTTAGAACAAAAAACGTTGGTTCTGAATTAAAGAAACTTAGCTTAAGGTCAGTTGATGAGCAACCTTAATTCCCCCTTGCCATGTAACATATGTTCACTGGTTCAGGGGATTAGGATGTGGACATCTTGGGAGGTAATTATTCTGCCTAGCACAGGTAGTATACTAAATTGATGTCAATGACTCCATTGCAGTATACTTAGATATTAATATTTCTCATTTATTTTTATAGCTGCCTAGTACTCTACAGGGTAGATATACCGTAGTTCATTCAGTCAGTCTCCCTGTGATGGACATTGGTTTGTTTCCAATCTTTAGCTTGAATGCCTAAATGAATAACCTTGTCTGTAAGTCACTTCATATTTTTGTCAATGTATCTTTGAGATAGATTTCTAGAAGTGGCACTGCAGGAACAAAGGGTAAATTTACATATGTAATTTTGCTATATATTATTTTTCCTACATACGGGTTGTGACATTTTGCATTTTCATTAGGAATGTTTGAGAGTTTCTCTTTCCTGGTGAAATGAATATGCTGTCAAACTTCTGGATCATTGACATGTGTAGATGCATTTTTTACATTTAGATCTCAGGTCCATTTGGAATTTGTCTCCACTGTGATGAGTGGTGGGACATACAAACCCAATTTTACCCAGTCATCCCAGTACAACTTCTTTGTAAGTCTTTCATTTCCCTATTGATAATGTGCTGCCACCTTCATCATTTATTAAATATCCTAATATACCTGGGTCTATTTCCAGTCTATTCTGTCTGTTCACACACCAGTATCATAGTATGTTCTAGTATCTGATAAGGCTGTCCCTCACCATTGTTCTTTTTCAGACGTTTCCTGGATATTCTTATTTCCCCTTTTGAACTTTATAATTGGTTTGTCTACCTGAAACAGTATTTGTTGGTATTTTTTTATTGGGATATTACAGTTGCATTTATACTTAGGGAGGCTTGACCTCTTTGAGTCAAAGAACAGGATATTGCTTTCTATTTGTTTAAGTTCACACTTAACCTTTGAGGAGTGTTTTAAAGTTTTCTCCATATACACGTGACTCATTTCTTGTGTATTCCTAAGTAGTTTCTCTTTTTTGTTGCTATTGTAAATATGGTCTTCTCTTCCATTATATCTTGTAACTGGTTCTCACTGGTTATTCGTATATATGAAGGCTATTGACTTTAGTATGTTAATTTTATATCCTGCTTATTTCCTAAATTATCTTTTTTATATAGTTTTTCCATGAACTCTGTGGGTTTTCAGATGTATAATCATATCTCAATGCATAAAAGAGAACATCAAGAGAATCGTTGACGGTTAAAAAGCCTGCAGAAAACAGCAGGTTGGCCCGTGAGATGCCTGCATAGCAGAGGTCCCTTCACCGTCGTGAAGCGTTGCTGAGTCGGAAGGTAGGCGAGAGAACATCCGTTTGAGGAACCGCGAACCTCAGAGATACAGAAACCCGAAATGAGAGTGGAGAAGCACGGGATTTCCCAATCTTCAGAGCAGCTCTACAAGCCTCGACCACCCGTTGGGTCAGGGAAAGTGGGGACAGCGGCCCAGTAAGGAGGAGAAAGATAAACAATTCTGTTTACCCTTAGGCTGCGAATCCTCACCCTTCTCTCGCGTGGGCGCGCGGAAAAACTACCGAGTTGAAAGCTCCTCCCTCCCTCTTCCTAGAGTAGCCGCGGAAGCGAGCCCCGCGCGGGCCCGGATAGCCGGTCCTTTGCCCAGTGCGGCCACTTCCGGCTTTTGTGGGTTGCCCTCGGTGGGTTCCGGGTCTCGAAGGGGTTCGAGGCCTCAGCCTTTCGCACCTGAGGTGGAAGTCTTCTGCTGTCCTTCGGGGGCTGCGGGTGAGCAAGCCTGTGCCCCGGACGCGGCGGGCGGGCTGGCGGCCTGGGCCCTTGGGGCCCGGGCTGGTGTGGGACCGGTCCCGGTCCTCCCCTGCCCAGGCGGATCCGCGGAAAGTTCTGCTCTCCCAGAGGCCATTTCCTGGCCCCCTTGCTGAGTGCGTCGGAGCCCTGGGGTGAGGGGCCCGCTCCCAGTCTCTGCAGAGGGTTCGGGCTGCTAGCCCAATAACTCCTGGGTTTGTCTTCGGCCTCGGGCGGTGGTTGTATCTTTCTCCCATTCAGCGCCTCCGGACATTTCTGGACATTCCTGGATCACGGACGCTGGCGGCGTCCCTTTCCTGGGCCTGCCTTGCTCTAGATTTATAATCACAGAACTCGAGGCTAGAAGAAAGCCTTAAAGAGTAACCTCTTCAGCCTTTTCATGTTATAAATGAAGAATGAGGAGCAGAGACATTAAATCCCAAAGAAATAAATTAATGTGACTTTGCTGCTTTTATGATTTCACGGTTTCTACCAGACATCTGAGCATTAAAAAAAAAAAAAAGGCAACTAATCAAGGATATCCCAACCTTTTATTGTTATTATCCTCTTGTTCTAAATGTTAGTTTTATTCCATTTACTTGTTCTTTATTTTAGGACTAAATAGAAATATTTCCTACCACATCTTACTCTTCCTTCTTAAAAGTTCTGAAGTAACTTGGCATCTTTTCTCTTTAAATTAGTTTATTCTTAAATCTTTTCTAGCAAAGCATTTCTCTTAGTATACTAAATTAACCTGGGGGCAGACTTTCAAAAGTCACACTTAAGTTCTTAGAATTTGCAATTTTTATTTATGGTGTAATTTGTATTAATAATGATGGCTTATTCCTCAGGTACGCCCAGGAAGAAACTTTCCAGGGAGATCTTACTTGAAGCACTGATAAAGGTTTTGCACAGCTATGATGGCATCTACTTGGGATATACAGGCCCACGAGGACCAGGATGAACTTTTGGAAATAAAGATAGAGGAGGAAGAGGAAGAGAAGTATACCACCAGACAGGATCAGAACCTGCAAAAGAACAACACCCATAGCAGAGAGATCTTCCGACGGTACTTCAGACAATTCTGCTACCAGGAAACATCTGGACCCCGTGAGGCTTTAAGCCGACTTCGGGAACTTTGCCACCAGTGGCTTAGGCCAGAGACCCACACCAAAGAACAGATTCTGGAGCTGCTGGTGCTGGAGCAGTTCCTTACCATCCTACCGGAGGAGCTCCAGTCCTGGGTGCAGGAGCAGCATCCAGAGAGTGGGGAGGAGGTGGTAACTGTGCTGGAGGATTTAGAGAGAGAGCTGGATGAGCCAGGAGATCAGGTGAGAAAAAAGATGTGATTTCTGTTTGAGAAAAGATAAATTATAGATTTCTAGGCCAGAGGGAAGTACAGCATTATTTCACTAAGCATAGTCTTGACAGTTTGGTGCATCAGAAAGGGGCCTGAGTTTCATGGAAAATTGGTTAATATGGTGTTAACTTTTGTGCAGAGGGATAGTGTATTTCTGTACTACACTACAAAATTCTGTTTGATGAACATGCTGCCTAGCTTAGAAACAGAAGACTTCTAGGACAGAGAGAAGATGTTAAAGACAAAGGTAGCAGGATGGGAAGCAGCTCTTTGAAAGGGGCATCACTTCTGTTGCACAATATAAATAAGAAATAAGTTTCCCTGACTCTCCATTAATATACTTAAAGATGGAGAAATGAAAGTCACCTTCTCAGGGGAATGAGAGGTAGGAACATAATGGAAAGATAGTGGGGAGAAGCAGAGCAGGATTCCATGTTTCTTTGAGAAGTAGAAAGCCTAGTTAGGTGGAAAGGTGAGTTTTGAGAAGAAAAGTTGAGATAGAGAGTCCAGGACCTTGAATCCCAACCTCTGGAGTTTAGATTTTATTCTGTAGGACAGAGGCTCTGAACCTTTTCTGCTTGAGTCTAAATGAGGTTTCCTAATCCTAAAACGTAAAAGAGAATCAAATTATGTAGAACTGTTTTGTTTTAATAGTGATGTAGGACAGTGGTTCTCAACCAGTGGCAGTTTTATGCCCCAGAAGGCATTTGGCAATGTCTTGGGACATTTTTGTTTGTTGTAAGTGAGGGATATACTCCTAGCATCTGGTGGGCAGAGAGGGCGAGGATGGTGCTAAACACCTTGGAACACACAGAACAGTCTCAGAGGACAAAGAATTATCTGACTCAACATATCAATAAAGTCTAGGAAATGTTGGTATAAAGAGTATGAAACCTAGTGAAATAATAAAACAGGAAGTGTAATTTAACGTTGGGATACAAAATAGAGTGGAGAGAGAAGGAGCATGTGTCAAAAAGATATAAGTTTGAAATAGGATTGTGAAAGTGTGATTGCAAGGGATGAGGCATGTCTTAGGTGAGAATTAATTGGAAATGATGACAGATTAGATTTATAAAGGAAGAATCAATGGAGGAGAACTCTACAGAGCAGTCTGTTCTAGGCTAAGCACTAGGGATGTGGAGCTTGAAAGACTAGTGTAGTGGAAACTCTCCTAACAGTTAAGGAGTGTAGGAAATCAGTAAGCAGATAGGTACTCTTTTAGGCACTTGAATGCAACAGTGAACAAAGCATAGAAAGTTGCTGGTCTTGTGTATTAATAGATTCTAGTCTACTGAGAGGAGACAGACAGTAAATTATAAAAAAAATCAACAAACATATAAAATGTCAGTGATGATAAATCCTGTTAAAAAAACAGTAGCAACAATAAAAGCAGAGAAAAGGAATAGTGAAGGAAATGGCGATTTTGCTATCTTTGGTAGACTTGTCAGAGAAGGCTTTTCAAATAGGGTGATATTTAGAGCAGAAATCTGAAGAGCAGGCCATACAGCTATCAAGGATAAGAGCATTCAGGCAGAGGGAATAGTAAATAGATAGGTCTTAGAGGGAGAATGTGCTTCTCATGGTAGAGATGTGTTTGTCAAGGAGGAGATAAAATAGTTATAAGGAGACCATATTATGTAGGGACTTGTGAGTCATTATAAAAATTTTGCATTTGGTTCTGAGATGGAAAGTCATGGGAGAGTTTGGGCAGAAAAGAGATATAATCTGACCTAAATTTTAAAATAATCACTATGACTACTGTGTTAAGAAAGTTCTACAGTGGGCCTGGCATGAGGGTTGGGGAGGCATAGGGGTCAAAGGTTGCAGAAAGGAAACCATTTTAGGAGGCCATAGATGTAAGCAATAATCTAGGTAAGCAATACTGGTGACTTCAACTAGGATAATAGCAGTGAAAGTGGTAAAATGTGATTGGATTCTGGATATATTTTGAAGGTAGAGCTTGATAGGTTTTTTTTTATATAGAATTACAGAATGTGGGATGTGAGAGAAAGTAAGTTAAGGATTATGCCAGAGTTTTTAGTGTGAACATCAGGTAGAATGGATTCATCATTCACAGAGATGGTGAAGACTGGGAAAGAAGTATGTTTGGGGTGGAGGGACAGGAATCCAAAGTTAGGTGTTAGACATGTTAATTTTGAGATTCCTGTTAGAATCCAAGTAGAAAAGTTGAGCAAGCAACTGGATATAAATAGTTGGAATTAAATGGAAGGCTTCTGTGCTAGAAATATAAAATTGGGATTTTCAGAGTGTGCATGATATTTAAAGCCACGAGACTGAATGAGATTGTCAAGGGAGTAACCAGCAGTGGAAACGGAAGGAGTGGCCAGGGAGGTAGGAAAAGAACCAGAAGAAAGAATAGGACTTTTAGGTGCAGGCAAAAGTAATTTGGTTTTAAACATGTTGAGTTTGTATTGCCAACTAGTCCTTTCTCTGAAAGCATGCTGGGGGCAGCTAATGGAGCTTTACAGCTTGATTTTTCAGACCTAAGAGATCCAGGGATAGAAGGCACAGCTCAATGTACTGGCTTTTTGTTTTTTCTTTCTTTTCTCAGATTTGAGGTATGAAAAAAATCTTTTTCTGTACTTTTGATATTCTGTACATTCTGCTGATTCTGGCTCTTATTCTGGAGACAGAGGCTACAAAATGAAACTGTATCAGAGAAATAGAGGCAGTGTATAGTGATTTCTTATTTACAAAATTTAGCCTTTGAAGGGAATGGGGGAGTAATCTGAGGGCCTGTTGTAGATGCTTAGGTCCTGTGCTAGATGCTTTATATACATGATATGTGTAATCTCAGGGAGAGTAACTAAGTAAAGGTCACAGAACTACTAAACTAAGAGATGAGTAAGTAATTGATGTGATTCTAAATCCTTGCTTTTAAATGCAAGAGGAAATGGGCCTATAGAGGAATGGGAGCCATAGAGTGGCTGAAATTGCTGAATAATGAGTTAGTTTATTGAGGAAGCAAGGGTCAGAGGGAAGCAGAAAGGGATGGGATTGAAGGCAAAAGTAGAGAGACATGTGAGCCTTGAAAAAGAGAAGACATCTTCCTCTAAGATAGAAGGGCAGGAAAAGAGTATGAGGATGGAGATAAAGTGAAGGGTAGATGATTTTTGAGATGATTGTGATCTTAGTTAAGTAGAAAATAAGATCATCTTCTTAGAAAGAAGTGGGATGGGCACCTCAGAAGGGCAGAGACTATTGGAAATAGCTTTTGTAATAAATATGAGGAGTTTCTGTCCTTTCCCTTTTTTCCATTTCTTTCTCCTTCCTTCTCCCACCCTCTTTCTTTTCTTCCTCTTTTTCCTTTGTTTCCTTTTCCCTTTCTTTGCTATCATTTCTCTGCATTATTTCCCTTTACTTATCCCCTTTCCTTTTCCTCTTTCTCTCATGTTTTATTTTCCCCTAAGTTCTATCTTTTTTATTCTTCTGCCTCTTTTACCGTCTTTTTCTTTTCTCCTGCATTTTGTCTTTCTCACTTTCCCTTCTCCACTTCTTTGAACATGAGACAAAGTATTAATAGTAACCAACATACTTTAGCTGTTAACAACAGGGGAAATTACTTTTGGCTAGGGAAGGGAAGGTTCCCCGTAGGAGGCAACATTTACATGGGCCTTGAAGATTGGGTAGGGTTATGGCAGGCTGATATCTGGGAAGAAGGTTATTTTGGCAAGCTGGGTGCCACTGCTATGAATAGTATACTTTTTTGTTTTCTGTTATCAGAGTGAGTCTGTCAGCTATATCTCATTTTCTTCAGGTCTCAGTCCATATTGGGGAACAGGAAGTATTCTTGCAGGAGATGGTACTTATAGGAACAGAACGAGAACACAGTATGTCCCTCCAGTCCATAAAAGCCCAGCTAAAGTGTGAATCTCCGGAACTTGGAGTCGAGCAGGAACAAGGTAAAGAAGAAAGTACCATCTTGGAAGGAAGAGGAATACAGGGCAAACTAACACAGAACATTGGTGCTCTTTTGTACTTAGTACTGTTTCTGCTCATTAAATTCAGAAAGGCCTCTCTAGGAATCTGATGGCTCATGCATAGACTATTGGACAGCCTGGTTTGTCACTCTTCAATTCTTTCCTTTTTTTTAATATTCATGTTTTTCTAAATTCTAAATTCTAAATTTTATTTTAGATCACTTAATTTAGTACTTCTGATACTGACCTCTGTGTTGTTTCTAACCTTTGTTCTACCAGGCAATACCACTATCTTCCACTTGGACTATATCCTTTCTCCTTCAGTAAATAAGCCTTTGCCCCATAATGTCTGCAACTAACTCTCAGATGGTCAAGACAAAAAAAAAAAAAAAAAAGTTTACACTAATAAAGAGAAGGAATAATAATGCAAATGTGGCCAAATGTTAAAAGTTGGGGAATGCGTGAAAGACCCTCTACCTTCCTTATCTCTACTTTCTCTATATTTTTTTCTGTTTTGCTTAATTTTTTTAAATAGGTAAAAATTAGCATGGTTCAAAAACAGAAATTTTAAAAGTTATTCAATGAAAAGTTTCCATTCTACTTAATTCCCCCAGTGCTCTAATCTCTTCTCCCTACTCTGAAATAAGTTGTCACTGTTATTAATTTACTGTGTGTCCTTCCAGAGATTTTTTTGATGAATAGACATTTTTCATATTGAAACAAATATATTTTTCTCCCCTTATCACTAAGATACTAGAATCTTGCATTTTTTATTTCTTTTTTTTTTTTTTTTGACTCAGTGTGGATTTGTCTCACATCTGGACATTTTTTATTTCTTAACAGCTGCTTAATATTAAAATGGTTGGGTGTACTATACAATCAACTTAGCCAGTCCCCTGCTGATGATATTTGTCTTTAGTATTTTACTGTAACAAATAGTGCTGCAATAAATAACCATGTGTATGAGTATGTCTGTAGCATAAATTCCTATATGTGGAACCACTAGGTCAAAGGTTTGATAGATATTGTGGAATTGCCCTCTATAAAGGATTGGATCAATTCATACTCCCACCAGAAATGTATGTTATCCATTTTGTGAACACAGTGTTGTAGCAAACTGATTAGGCAAATTGGATGGGTAAAAAATTATATCTCAATTTGTTTAAATTTGCATTTCCTTGATTGTGAGGTGGAGCATCTTTTCCTATGCTTAAGGGCATTTCCTTTCCTGGAAACCATCAATTTTAACTTTGCCCAGTTTTTTTTTTTTTTTGAGACAGAGTCTCGCCCTGTCACCCTGGGTAGAGTGCTGTGGCATCATCATAGCTCACTGCAGCCTCAAACTCCTGGACTCAAGTGATCCTCCTGCCTCAGCCACCTGAGTAGCTGGGACTACAGGCTCATGCCACCATGCCCAGCTAATTTTTCTATTTTTAATAGAGACAGGGGTCTCACTCTTGCTCAGGCTGGTCTCAAACTCCTAAACTCAAGTAATCCTCCTGCCTCAGCCTCCCAGAGTGCTAGGATTACAGCTTTGAGCTACTGCACTCGGCCTCTTTGCCCAGGTTTATATTGGGTTATTGCTTTCTTCCTTAACAATTTTTGAAGTACTTTATATGTTAGGTCCATCTTATATTCTAATGCCATTTTACAGTCATGAAGAAACTCTAGGTTCTTATGTGTGTTTCATTTGAATAATTTTATATTGCCTAATGAAGTTACTGTTTGCTATTGTTGGATGCTAGGTAACATTTGTGATCCCTTTTTAGTTTCAGATGTTGAGACTGGAAATGAGTACAGTAATTTAACTCTAAAGCAAGAAGTTTCTGAAGAAATGGAACCATATGGGAATACATCTAGCAGATTTGAAAATGACATACCTCGGTCTACTAGGTGTGGAGAGACTCATGAACCTGAAGAAAAAACGGAAGAGCCTTCTGGATACTCCAGGGAAGATAAACAACCTACATGTGATGAAAATGGAGCAAGTCTGACTGAGAACTCAGACCATACTGAACACCAGGGAATCTGTCCAGGAGAAAAATCTTATGAATGTGATGACTGTGGAAAAGCATTCAGTCAAAAATCAAGCCTCTTAGAACATCAGAGGATCCATACCGGAGACAGGCCCTACAAATGCGAAGAATGTGGAAAAGCTTTCCGAGGAAGAACTGTGCTTATTCGACACAAAATAGTACACACTGGAGAGAAACCATACAAATGTAATGAGTGTGGCAAAGCCTTTGGCCGGTGGTCAGCTCTTAATCAACATCAGAGACTCCACACAGGAGAGAAACACTACCACTGTAATGAATGTGGCAAAGCCTTTAGTCAGAAAGCAGGCCTCTTTCACCATCTCAAGATCCACACAAGAGATAAACCTTACCAGTGTACTCAGTGTAATAGAAGTTTCAGTCGGCGTTCCGTACTTACTCAGCATCAAGGAGTTCACACTGGTGCAAAGCCCTATGAGTGCAATGAGTGTGGAAAAGCCTTTGTTTATAATTCATCCCTTGTTTCCCATCAGGAAATCCACCACAAAGAAAAGTGCTACCAGTGTAAGGATTGTGGGAAATCCTTCAGTCAGAGTGGCCTTATTCAGCATCAAAGAATTCACACTGGAGAAAAACCCTACAAATGTGATGTATGTGAAAAATCCTTTATTCAAAAGGCAAGTCTTACAGAACATCAGCGAATTCACACTGGAGAGAGACCCTATAAATGTAATAAGTGCGGGAAGGCTTTTACCCAAAGATCAGTCCTCACGGAACATCAGAGAATCCACACTGGAGAGAGGCCCTACAAGTGCGATGAGTGTGGGAATGCCTTCCGAGGAATCACCAGCCTCATTCAGCATCACAGAATCCACACTGGGGAGAAACCTTACCAATGTGATGATTGTGGAAAAGCCTTCAGACAGAGGTCAGATCTTAGTAAACACCAGAGAATCCATAATAGAATTAGTCCCTATATATGTAAAGAATGTGGGAAATCATTCAGGCAGAATTCAGCTCTTACTCAACATCAGTCTATCCACAAAGGAGAAAAATCTGTTTCTGTGTGATGACTACAGGGAAGCTATCTTACAGACTTCTGGTGAGAAATACTAGCTTTCTAATGATTTGGGGCAAAACTTCAGTCACTATTTCTATAAGTAAACCTCATATATTTAATAAGAACCCACTGTGTGCTGCCCATTGTATTAGGTGTTGCAGAGAACAAGAAAATCTAGGGTTTTAAGATGGCCTTTCCATCCCTTCAAATTTAAGTGTTTCAAAAAAGAGACCTACATTCCAAGGTTTACTAAGGTCTTCTGAGTGTCAGGCCTTATGTGTTTGTTTATTTAGGGGAGGGGTGCTGGTATTTCTTTGTGTTTTACCTTCAACCTTCCTTTGTTTCCCGGCTCTATCATTATTGTATTCTGAGTTTTCTAATAATTGCTCTTGATAACGGATTTATAATTTTTTGGTTTGTATACCTTCTTGAGCTCATAAAAGGCCCAAAGATTACAGATACTGTCCCTTGGGCTTCTGAAAAATAACCAACAACTGGTTGATTTTACCCTTGTATTGCTGAGTTAAAAATTCTGTTTTGGATAAGAGCTTATGATGATTATTTTAATGGACAACAGACAAGCCACATAGAAGTATACATGGTTCCTTATCTGTTTGTCTTTTTATATGGGAATCAATCTCTACTGAGATGTCCTATTATTTCTTTCCTTTTTTACCTTGCCATAACAAATTCCACACCACAATTTCTGGGTCTATCTTCCCACTCCACCCCAAGATAACTGCAGTCCCTCTTCTTCCCTCACTTATAGCAGTCAATGGGTTTGAAGTGGTGACACAGTGACAATAGGAGAAGGGAAGCAAGAAAAAAGTAATTTCCATTCTTCTTTAGTAAGTCCCACTCCTGATTACATTTCTACACAGCTCTGTATCTTCGTCCCATCTTCTTCCCATTCCTATGATATATTCTACCCCTATTTCCCTAATGTCCCTGTCTCTTGCCCCACTATTCATAACCTCTATACAGAATATCATCACAGGGTTGGAACTAGGGGAGTCCTTAGTCCTATAGTGTGTTTCTAGCTTTCTAAGTTGTAAATGTGAACACATTTTCCCATAGAAATGATAATGGTATAAATAGTATAATTTAGGCATATTACATGTCAAATTGGCTTTTGGGATTGGGACTTAATATGACTTTCTGTATGGAAAAACATTCTTGAGTTCACAATAGAGAAAAACAAATGAACAGGTGAAAAACAACCACTGCTTATTTAGGCTTTTTCATAACACCAGCATTGGAGTTGCACACATAAAGCACTGAGGCAACTGGGATTAGAAACCTAGTTTTTTACCTGAAGGAAACAAACAAGGATGCCAAATCTATACCTGAGAGCTCTATAGCTGTAAGTATATGAGGACTGTTCCCTAGCTAAGCTTACTCTGCTTGCCATTTCTCACTCACATGCAAACTCTTCTCATTGGAGGGGACTTTACTTAGTAATGTGAACCTCTATGACAATGCCCTCCTTACCAGACCAATGCTATCCATATTCCTTATCTAGTCTGATTTTATAGACTTTGTTATCCAAACTGAAATTGCTCTGCATACTAATTTCAGAGCCTCTGTCTTCAATCTGACTGCTCACTGGAATGCAATCCGTTTTTTAAACTTACTTTGTACTTCTTTCAGTGTCTTTTTTTGGGGTCTTTCCAGTTCATTTTCTGCTTAACATGTTTCTGTCAATGCACACATGTTCCTCCACTTGCCTTTCTGCACACTACTTAATCTAAGTTTCTTATGTACCAAATATTATAGAGGGACTGTAAACAAAGACCAAGAACAATGGAATATGCCTATCATATAATAGGAAACAGTTCATACTTGTTTAAAAATAAATGCGGGTATTTTGTTCTGCTTGTTTGTTATGCTTAAATACAGTTGTAGTACCAAAAAAAGGAGTGGCATGGAATTTCCAGGTACACATCATAGATCAAACCTAGTTATCCAGGATAAGGAGAAAATATAGTAGAATAAAGTTACTACTTGAAGCTAAATTGACAATACAGAAAAATCGAGGCTTTGAGTGGCAAATAGAGGATGTGACAGATATTAGATATGGAACAGGAGTGCTGCATTGGGGAGTGCAGTGAACAGAGAATGCCTGTGATGAGGTCAAGAACACATCTTTATGGATAAAAGATAGATGTGGTGTGACAGGATCTAGGAAATCAGGGAACTTTGAGGCATCTATGTAGATTTTGAAATAATCAACAATAACAGGAGGCAGAATGGAAAGGACAAATGTGAAAGTGAAGCGGGTCCAAGGTAGAAGGAATGGTAGTAACAACCACAACAGCCAGGTAAAAGTACCTGGTATAAACTCAAATGAATTAATCATAAAACAGCAGCTTACAGATTACATTAAGGATGAGAATAAGATTGCCTGGCTTCTCTTTTCTAATTGATTCAAGCTAAACAAGACATTGATTATTTAAGGCAAAAAGCACAGAGAGATTGGGGGAGAGTCATGTTTGTAAAGCAATGAAAAGTGAAGTGAGTGTAAACATAGCTGTGGATGAAAAAGTAACCTGACAAATCAAATGGATTCTAAAGAGTACAGTGGGAAGGGACTCCAAAGGGAAAAAAGATGGATCTCTCCCCCCCAAAATAAATTGTATGTAGTGGTTGCTGGAATTTGAGGTATGAGATAAAGCTCGTGAGAAAGGAGAATGGGATTGAGCAGGGCTCTGAATTGAGAAATCTCAACTATATGGTGAGGTTGGAGATGGAGAGCACTAAGATACAAGAACTTAGACAAGCTCTGTACTCCTATACTCCATACAGAAGTAGCATCTTTTGTTAATATACAAAAAATAGATTATTATAGAGTTGTTATAGTCAAAACAAAGCTATTATTGACCAACTTTTGGAATTGAGAAAACTATTAATAATAATACTGTACACTTACTAATTTCTTACTAAGGGACAGGCATTACTAAATGCTTTACTTACATTATTTCATTTTTAGCTGGGGAAACTGAAAGTTTCCCCAAACTAACAAAGTTATTATATAGTGGGGCCAGGATTTAAACCCAAGCAGCCCAATTCCAGAGCCCATATGTTTAAACTCTGTGATACTCTTCCTCTGTTTTATTTCAGTTGAATGAACCTTATTTTACAATAATAATTTAGTGTCTCGAATAATTATCTGTAGAAACTTTTCAACTCCCGTTACTATTCTGGAAAAAACTTAGTCCTGGGGTCCAGACACCTCAGGTAATAACATCACCACCCTCTCTGCATACCAAATAGTGGGTGAGGTTTGGCCAGCATAAACATAACCCTGATTCTCATAGCCCTTCTGCACAGTAAGGATGTCGCAGGAGACATTCCACTTTAAAAATGGGTTCTTTATATGAAAGGATCACCCTGCTAGCTTAGAACCATAATTCACATTCTGCTTTTTTCTTTAAGGTAGATCATAAAGATTTAAAGAGACGCCCTCAAGTGTTAGTAACCCATTATGGATTTATCTTTGATGAGAGTTTTTAAAAGTGGTTTTATATTTGGAGCCAGTACCACTTCTTGGATTAAAAAACATAACTATATATTTTATGAAATATTGATTTTGTTTGCTTAAAATTGACCTCTCACTCTTTTGCCGGGACTAGAGTGCCATGGTGTCAGCCTAGCTCACAGCAACCTCAAACTCCTGGGTTCAAGCAATCCTTCTGCCTCAGCCTCCCAAGTAGCTGGGACTACAGGCATGCGCCACCATGCCCAGCTAATTTTTTCTATATATATTTTTAGTTGTACAGCTAATTTCTTTCTTTCTCCTTTTTTTTTTTTTAGTAGAGACGGTGTCTCGCTCAGGCTGGTCTCAAACTCCTGAGCTCAAACAATCCACCGCCTCGGCCTACCAGAGTGTTAGGATTACAGGTGTGAGCCACCGCGCCCGGCCTACAATTGACCTCTTATGGTTCAAATGGTACCCCCGTTGACTCCACAAGGCCAGAGTTTGAGCAACAAGTGCTTGTTCAACCTGGGGATAATCATGTGGATAGCCTTTAATTGAATCTCTTCCCAGCTTTTATTCTTTCACACCAAAAAGTTCTTATACCACAGCCCCTCCAGCAGCTCATTTTATTAGAATGTCTTTGGATTCTTGTTCCTTTCAAATGTTACTGGGTGTACTTGGTAAGGAGTCCTAGCACATTTTTTGTACATATACAGTATTTCTACATATATAAATATATAAAAAGTATATGTGTATGAATATATTTTTATATATTGTATATAATTTTTATTATATATATAAGTTAATTTGATGTACATAAATGGATTTCTACAAAGCCAACCAGGATTAGTGTTTTAAATTCCTCAGTTGATTAGCTCCCCAGCTTACATTGTAAGACTGTCATTGAGAGCCAGCAGTTTTTCCCTTGTTGTTACGGAAACAGTTTATTTTCTTCACACACATTAAAAAAAAAAAAATTTTAGCATCTGAAACCCATGAATCAAGGCTCCCAGAGCTTTCACCTATCATAATTCAAGATGATCTTTGGGGTATATGTTTGCTCCTACCAGTCATCTTCTTAAGCCCAAATGGCCTGCTGCTAGTTGTCCCAAGAAGGCCTCCTAAGTGGAGGCTATTTGTAATCTCAGGTTTATGGTTAGATCTTCATTATCCCTCTTCAAGCGTGGTCCTGCGTATCTTACTTTTTAAATCTAGTGCCTTAGTTCTGCCTACTTCAGTGAGGAATTTAGGAGTGTCTTTCCATTTCATCCGTGTTAAAGTATGAGGCAGTTTAGAGATTCTACAGCTTCCTGTAGCCAATTTCCTTACTCCTGAGGCAGGATTTAAGAACATGGTTTCTAGAGACAGATTACCAGGATTCAAGTTTCAGCTTACTAGCTGAGTGACTTTGGGCAAGTGATTTAACGTCTCTTGTGACTCAGTTTCCTCATATGTAAAATTGTGATAATAATAGTATTACCTAATTGGGCAATTATTTGGATTAACAGAGTTACATATTATATAAAGCACTTAGAGTAG